CTGGTCATTGAGCACATCCAGGTGAACAAAGCCCCCAAGATGCGGCGTAGAACGTACAGGGCTCATGGTCGGATTAACCCATACATGAGCTCTCCTTGCCACATTGAGATGATCCTTACTGAAAAAGAGCAGATTGTTCCTAAACCAGAAGAGGAGGTTGCACAGAAGAAAAAGATATCCCAGAAGAAACTGAAGAAATGAAAACTTATGGCCCGGGAGTAAGTTCTGCAGAATAAATGCAAATAAAAATAAAAAGAGAGAAAAAAATGGTCTAGGACACCAGGGTTTACATGAGCAGATAATGTTCTTAGAAGATAGAAATATAGGTTTTTTCTCTTTCTGAAATGAACAAGCTCTACCATCATGGAAAGTAAAAGGCCCACTCAACATGCATAAACAGGAGTTAATAGACTAATTTGGGTGGCTTAATGGAGCCTTGAGACTTTAGAAGACTGCAGAGCACAAGAGCTATACCCACATGCGCAAGCCCTTTGTTTTCTCTGCCAAGGGCACAAGATAACACGCACCATCCATGTCTCTACGAGCCCGCTCATCCTCCCAAACGTCCAAAAACTTTTTTTCAGCTTTATTGAGATACAGTTGACAAATAAAAGTGTACATATTTATTTGCTAAAGAATAAAGCACAGGAGACCAGCCACAAAAGGAATGGGGCACCATCCTGAAAACAGATGGATTTAGTGAAACTCCTTATTCTTGAAACTTGCCATCACTGCTCCATCTCCTCCTTCTAGCTCAACTCCTACCAGCAGACAGGACTCTACCCTCTTCCCAGCCAAGAAGGTAGTATTATTAGTGGAGAAATTAAGTAGACTGTAAGAAAATATAATTTTGTACTGTGGTTGAAGTCAGGGATAATCAGAAAGACCTGAGAATCAGAGGAGGGTGGTTTTCTCTCCAAGGAAACCAGCTAACTTGAAAGAAAACTTCTAGGAACTTGTGAATAGCCTGATAAAAGAGCCATGTATCTACCTGATCACCCAATAAATAATGGATCCTATCATTCACCTTGTGCCACCCATTGGGTCAGGGCTTCCAATCCATGTCTTATGCTTTATTGATAAATGGCATTTTATTAATTTTTTTATTTGTGCTTTATTGATATAATTATTCGTAAGCAGCCAAATATCACGAGACATTTGATAACATTCAAAAATGAAAGATAATAGCCAAATACCCCTAAAAGGAACTCAGAGAAAATAGAAACGAATATGTGAAAACCTTGAATACTGTCAGAAATACAGAACGAGAATAAGATTCTATTTAAAAAAAAAAGAGACCTTCAGAATAATAAAAAATATAGCCTTCAAATGTTAAAGATACGATAACAGAAACAAATATCATTCACAGAATGGTTGAAAAATGGAGTTGAAGAAATCTCATGGAAAAGGAACCCAAAATTCAGAAAGGAAAAATATGGAAAAAAATATTTTAACTAAAGGAGAAAACTAGGAAGTCCAACCCCCAATTGCACATGATCTAAAAAAAATAATGAGGAGAAAATAGATAGGAGAAAAATATTAAAGAAATTATGTAAGATTTTTCTTTCCTAACTAAAAGACATGCATCTCCAAATTTAAAGGGCATGTCAAGTGCCAGCATAATGAATGGAGAAAGAATCACAATAAGACACACCAATGTAAATTTTCATAACATCATGATGAAAGTAGAGATCCTAAAATAGAGATCCTATTTCCAGCTTGGGGAAAATAACAGATAAAATAGATACAAAACTTAGAAAATACATTCCAGTTCTCAGAAGCAATACCTAGAAAATAAGGGGGAATAAAACTTCAAGACCATTTAGGAAAATTATTTTCAACACAGAATTCTGTATGTAATCAAACATTGAATCAAGGGTTGAATAAAGATATTTTTAGTCACACAAAGGATCAAAAATCTTGCTTCCTTTTTCCCCATTTTGTACTACTGGAGCATGTGCTCAGTATAGTGAAAAAATAAACCTAGAAAGAGAAAGAAATGGAATCCACAAAAACAGGGTAATCTACATAAAGAAAAAGGCAAAGGAAATCCTTACAGCAATGATGAAAAGAAATAATAGGATGAATGCACAACCTAAAAAGGATGAAACAATAAGCAAACCATTATTGTCTAGTGGAATGTAAAATTACATGTCTGTCCTCCTCAGGGGACATGATCTGACTGCCTGGATGGAGAACCTTTCCAATGAACACTCAGAAAATGGGTATAATGGCCTTGATGTTGGGTTAGAAGAAGAAATGTATAGTAGAGCGCCATAGGGTATTTCTTTAACCTGGTTACCAATCTCCAAAGTCTCCAAAGGCCCCATGGTCAGTCCTTGTGATCAGGTTGCAATTATGATGTATGACGTTCTTCAGCTGGCACACCCAAGGAAATCTGGGTATGGTTGCTTCGCACTATTAGAATGACACGTTTATTCATTTGGAAAATGTTTATGAAGTGCTTTCTATGTCCGAAGCACTAACCTATGTGCTTGGGATACATCCATGAACAAACGGACAGAAATTCCTGCCAACATGGAGTTTGCATTCTAAGAATGTGCAGGTGTTGTAGGGACCACGAGGTGTTGTCAAACAACAGAAAAAAAAAATAGGCATGATAAACAGGAAAATTATAGAGTATATTAGAATGTGCTAAGTGTTATAGAAAGAAATGGAACCAGGCAAAGCTGATGAGGAGCGCTGGGGGCCTTGGTTGCGATATCAAACAGGGGTGATCAGTGTAAGCTTCATTAAGATGATTTTTAGGCAAAGACTTGAGAGAGGTAAGACAGTTTACCAGGCAAATATCCGTAGAAGTGTGCCTGAGGCTTTGGTGTGAGGGAACACACACTGCCGAAGAACCCAACGTGGGGGCACTGTTGGCATGTTGCGTAAAAGTAAGGAAAACATTTTACTGCAGACATTATGTCTTCAAGGACACTTCTCCCCCCCGCCGGGGTGCACTTCCATTCAATTTCCTTTTCTGGCCCACTCTCAGGCTCTAGAGCATGCTCCTCTCCTCTGATCCTCTCTAAAAAGAACCACCATTTTAATGATGATTTTGTGTCATCCTCTTTGGGTTGGGAACCTCTGAGGAAAGGTGGACAATAACGCCTCCCCTCAAAGATGAAGAACTGATATTCAGAGAGCTTGATTCCTTAAATCAGATGGCCGAAGTCCAACACCAAATTTTTCACTGCAAGCCCACTGTTTGGTCTTTCTGTCTCTGCCTGTGATGTCCTGGATTTGCGATTGCTGAGGACATCCTCGTCAAGTCTCTACTTTGGGAGGGTGACGGAAAGAACAGGAAATTATAGAAATCAGGGAAAGAAGGCAAGTAGGCTGACACTTAAAAATAAAAGTTTGAGTAAAAAGCAACACCCATTGTGTCTCCATTCAGGTGTGGATATTATACTGCTGTTGTCACTAAAAAAAAAAAAAAAAAAAAAAGAACAACTGTTCTGGTTTCCTACACACACACACACACACACACACATTTATGAAACAAAGCCTTCTCCACACTCCTCTGCCCCACTCTCTGCCGTGGGAGTAACTGAAGTTATCTAGCCCCATATAGAAAACACACGTAGAGCATCATCATGACTAAAAGTCTCCATGAATGCTCTTGAATGCACAGTGTGTACTTTGTTTTAACCTTTGCAGGTAGTTTTGAGTCTTCAGCGGTAAGGTTGTATAGGCTTACGGTTTCTCTCGCTGTCCTGTTTCATTACATAAAGGATCCATATGTGTGACCTAGTCATAAGCCAGCGTTAGGGGTGACGTAAGATGCAAATTGCAAAAATCACCCCCAAATAAGTGTTTCATAAATTTGTGTGCATGTGTGAAGGACAGGAGAAATAGCCAGATATTTTTTTTCTTTGTCCATACACTAACCATTCCCTTGCCTCATGTCTTCAGTTTCTATTCCATACTAGCTCCGGAATCGATTTTAACATCTTTTTCAGTGGTCCCTTTTTAAAACTTGCCTTGAATTATCCTAATTTGAGTGTGCCATCTGTTTCCTGCTGGAAACGTGACTGATAAAAGCACCATCTTCCCCTCTACTAAACCCACAGAGATGATAAAGTATAAAATGATAAAAGTAAAATGAAATATTGGCGTTCAAATGGGATGATAAGTACTGCTTTGGTCCCATAATGAAAGAGGGACACAAAGAGTAATCTGGCCTAAAAAGCAAATCTATAGAGCCTCAAGTTTGCAAGTAGAGAGCTCTATTCCTACAGGATAAAGGAGGTTAAAAGTTCTTCATATGAATAAGGTGGAGCAGACTGGACCCAGGCTCCCCACATGAAAAGTGTGGCCATGGCCCCCCTTCTCTGTCTGCTAAAGGAAACAGAAAACTAACCTCTCAATCTTACCCCGAATTCTGGCTGCCTCTATAAAGCTGAAAACTGGGGGAAGAAGGTAGTG